GATAATACGTAGATTATTACTTTTTAGAGTAACAAAACAACATTCCATAAGAGAAGAAAAAAACTTAATTTATCAATCAAATAATAAAAAGATTTGAAAAAGGAAAAGGAACGAAAGAAAGCTACTCTGAATAGCATATAATTGGTTAAACGGTAAGAAGGACTTCAAGATTAGTGTACAAATACATATATATTCAAATAACACACAAAAAAAAAAACACACACACATACATACATACATAAATACATATAAATTTATCTATACATATATACAAACAGCTTAAAGCAGGCAATAAATAGATCTTTATAGCCTCTAAAAAGAAAAAAAAATGATGTAAAAAAAAACACGAGTCAAAAACACAATGATTTAACTGAAAAAACTTGTTGCAAACAACAACAACAACCATCACAACCACAGCAACACAACAGCAACAAGCGATTCGACTAAATCACCAGCCAAAATATATAACAAACAGCACACATCTGACTGGGTGGAAGCAAGGAGGAGGGGGGACAGCAGGCGGGGAGGGGGGGAAGGGGGGGGGAAAAAAAAGATGGTGCAACAATGACGTATGAAAGGAATTTCAGCTATTTCAAGTTTGGAATCTTGCAAGGAAAAAAATTACACATTAGTCGCTAACCTTATATAAAACCAAAAGTATTGCCAACAGGCTAAATGTGAAAGGAAAGAAAAAAGTGACCCGAAACAAAGGCAAAAATAAACAAGCAGATTAATTAACAGCAACAACAATAACAAAAAATGTGTTAAAAGCTTAACAAATGGATACCCGACAGAACCTGAGGACATTTGTTGTATTAAACAATTAATAAATTCTTGAAAAAAATAAATAAATAAATAAATAAACAAATTAAAATACATCTTTTAAAAAAATCAGAACAAAAAAAAAAAAAAGGCAAATTCCGCGACAACGCAGTATCGACGCGCACTCACTGTTTGTTTCGAGAAGGGCGCGAGACAAGCACAGAGGTATATATATATATATATATTTTTATGTACAGAAAGCAATGGCGAGGTATAGAGGCAAACAGACAAACAAAGGCTATGCCCTCTGTTCAGCCCCGTCTCCAATGGCTCATTCGTCTGTTCGCCCGTTCGTCGTTTATTCGTTCGGCCGTTCGTTCGTTCGTTCGTTCGTTCGTTCGTTCGTTCGTTCGTTTGTTCGTTCATTTTCATCCATTGGTTCATGGTTGCCCGTCTACACAGTCAGTGCATCAGTGTTCATCCTGTTCACATCTCTCTACTTGACTACCGCTGTACTGTTCGTTGTCATTCTTCATCTCTTCTTTTGAAATGCCATCGGACTTTGAGTTCCAGTACTTATTGCTACCGCAGTAGTAACGGCGACAACGCTGGTGCCAGCGGTTAGTAACAATTATAGTGTGATAGTCGCAATAGCGGTGAAAGCAACAGCATTTACATCATTTCCTTCTCCTTTATTTGCTTGACTTCGATCAAACAGAAATTTTAGGTTGCCAAAAAAAAAA